GAATAAGAATAATAAAAACGGATAAATAATTAAAAAAAAAAACAAAGCTATTTCAGATTGAGATATTTAGATGATAGATACCAAACATAAAAAAATCAGCTTAAGGCCATATCTGGATATAATAAAATCATTCAAGATGTTATATCAAAATATATGACTTACAAAAAGCAAATTATAATTCAGAATATGGGAATAGAGATCTATTTTAACGAAGAACTAAATATCCTGGGACACATTGATGAGATGTTTTTAGAGGTTTTTGCTATAGGGCGTGTGCATTCTTTAGAAAGAGAGACAGAAAGCAAGAAATCACCCCCCAGGGGGGATGGCCACTCCCCAATCCCTTCTCCTCCATTCTCCTCTCAGGATCTTGGGCACGCACGCACATGCGCCCGGCATGAGTTTAAACCACCTGGTCCAGGACTCGTATCACAGTCGACTAAATGGGAATTCAGCAACATAGCCATTATGCCAACTGCTGGTCCCAGCCTAATAAGGATTTGAAGTTGATTCTGCTCCCTGAATAGCTAAGCAGCTCACTTATATTCTCTGAATCTCAGTTTCATCATCTATAAATTGAAGCAAGTGTTACCCACCCTAGTGATGTGAAGAAGTGACATATCACATATCAATTAAATAACTCCCCTGACATATGGTCTGTACAAAACATCAGGTCTTCCTCTTTATTTCTTAGGTAGAACATTTTATTTATAACATTAGTTTCTCAGGAGGTGAGGGAAAATCTTTTTTTTTTTTTTTTCAGGTTTTTTTCATAGGGCATGAGGGCTCACCAGGGAGGAGAGACACAGGGAGAGGGAAAGTGAGAAATCACCCCCCAGGTGGGATGGCCATGCTGCAATTCTTTGTCCTCCATTCTCCTCCTGGGATTTTGGGCATACATACACATGTGTCAGGTGTGATTTTTAGCTGCCAGGTCTAGGACTCAAACCAACATCATCCATGTGGGAGTCCAGACAGAGCCTTAACTACTACACCACCTGCCCACCTGCTGGCCTCGAGAATCCATTTTTGAATGTTATATTTTGTATCCCTAACATCTCTAAGGAAAAAGAGTAATATAAATAAAATAAATACTCAGGTTGGAGCAGGCATTTTGGTTTTAGTGTACATTTTGATCAATGATTTAGCAATACCTAGATGTTTGAGTACATTTAATATCTTGATAATGATAATCTGTATCATTTCTTTTTTTTTTTTTTTTCGAGAAGATTTTGCTATAGGGTGTGTGCACTCACCAGAGAAACAGAGAGAGACAGAAAGCGAGAAATCACCCCCCAGGGGGGATGGCCACGCCACAATCCCTTCTCCTCCATTCTCCTCTCGGGATCTTGGGCACACAAGCACACGCGCCTGGCATGAGTTCAAGCCACAGGGTCCAGGACACGAACCGTGGTTAACTACATGGGAGTCCAGCGACATAGCCATTACGCCAACTGCTGGTCCCCATTTCTTTTTTTTTTAAGAGATATTTTTGCTATAGGGTGCATGTGCTTACCAAAGAGACAGAAAGCGAGAAATCACCCACAGGAAGAATGCTACAATCCCTTCTCCATTCTCCTCTTGGGATCCTGGGCACACATGTACACACACCCAGTGTGGAATTTAAGCCACCCGGTCCAGGATTCGAACTGCAGTCAACTAGGTGGGAGTCCAGTAACATGACATAACCATTATGCCATCTGCTGGTCCCAATCTGTATTATTTCTAAATCACTGTATGCACTTGGTTAAATACAGTATCTTCATACAAGAAAGCATTATTCTCTAAATCCTTTGATTTTGTATCTTTAATTTTGGAATGTCAATATATTTTACAAAAAATATCAAAATTGCAGAATCATGGGACCAGCAGTTAGCATAAGGGCTATGTCACTGGACTCCTATGTAGTCGACTGCAGTTTAAGTCCCGGGCCCGGTGGCTTAAACTCACGCCGGGCGTGTGTGCGTGTGTGCCCAAGATCCCGAGAATGGAGGAGAAGGGATTGCGGTGTGGCCATCCTCCCTGAGGGATGAATTCTTGCTTTCTGTCTCTCTGTCTCTGTCTTTCTGGTGAGCGCACACTCCCTATTGCAAAAACCTCTCAAAAAAAAAAAAAAATTGCAGAATCATCAACAATTAAAAACCACATGAGAAACAAATTTCTTTCCTCCTGAAATATCTACCAAATACTTTCAAACTATGTTACTAAGATTTAAAGAACTAAATTAAATCAATGATCTTAATATTTTTAATTGGAGAATTTTCATCTTTTTATAGAATACATGGATGTGTACATTTTCACTGACGGTTGGGGCTTCCTTTAGTTGCTATACATAATGTTAACTTGTTATAACTTAGAATATAATTTAAATGTAACTTAGAAATACAAAAAAAGGAGAGAGCAATTTGGAGAAAATAAAAAATAAATTACTTTATTAACGGAAAATATTCTGCTGAGCCAAGTCATTTGTAATTTTTTCATGAGGCTAAAGGGAAAACCATCTGTTCCCTCAAAACAATTGTGACATTTAGACATAATAACTAATGGAAAATGTCATCAAAGAACTGCTTGAGTACATATAGTTATGCTTCTCCATGAAATGCTGACAAAGTTTGTGGACATAAAATGACTGGTTTTATGCCTTTAGTCCCCTCCATGGCAAATGGATTTTAATTTTTCTTTTTTAATATACCTTTGCCTTCCACCTCAACTTGTTTCTGAATGTCATGAGATTAGCCATTGGAGTCGCATGGATTTAATTATACCTCCTCAATGTCTCGGGCTTCACTCTTGGCACGTAAGTTCATTCATGGCTATTCTTAATCACTTCTTTTGATCAATCCTTTATTATAACATACAACCAATTCTTGAAAATCCAGTTGTATTTTACAGAGATGGCAAATTTGACCGTCTGCTGTGTATGGCCATTAACTGCTTCAAGATGCTCTCTATCTGCTATGTTAATATTTGCTGATGTGTTAACGTAATGATGTCCCATCTGCTTTTGCTGTGAGGCACTTTCTCTCTGTAGGGATGGAAATTAATGACAGCCTCTCTGACAGCTGCCCGATGTCAGAGCTGAGAGGGAGTGAAGGGTACATAAGGGCTGGTTACTAGTTAGCACGTGGGAGAGTAAACACCCCAGTGGATGCAAGCTCGGGCTTTTTCTCATGAAGCTCTCTTGCTCTCACAGTCATCTTCAGATATTGCTGATACTGAAAAAATAGAAGGTAAAGAATTTCCTATTTCTGTGTATTGTTTAGTTAGGCACAAGCAGACTTGTAAAGATTTCTTTCAAAAAAAAGATTAAAGGACAGATGGATTAGAATGTTAACTTACCAGACTGTTTAGAGGACAAACTCATAAAAGTGAAGATTTCGAAAATATTTAAAAATGGTTTGAACTGTATTAAAGGGACTATCTCAAGAGAGACGATGATCATTGTAAATTATGTTGTTAAGAGATGTTTTTAAGAAAATAGGTCTAGTTTTCAGTCACTTCAATTGGGACTAGGAGAAAATGTCTTTTGTTCAGTGTTGGATTGTTCTTTTCAGAAAACTTGAAGCACAATGTGCACCCTGAAGCTGCCTATAGCTCTCATCATACTCGCTGTTGCATTAAACCGTCTGAGAGCTACACCCGTTGAAAGGTTAGTAACTTCAAAATCCTGTTTCTTTTGTGAAGTATGGCAAAATTAGAATTAAACTCTGCTGCATAACTAAGAACCTCAAGGAGCAATCCTGAAGCCGTTCAATTGCTCCTTGAATTTTGTGTTCTTTGGAGAATAATGGCAATGGCTGACAAATCTCTTTGATGGAACTTCTGACAGACAGGAATGGATAGTTCCCGTTTTGTCAAGAAATATGCTGTTGGAACTTAGAGGGACAAGGCCAGAATACGAAGCAAGAAAAACCAAAAGGTAGTCATTTCTGCTATATTAACTTGATGTTGAAATGAACTAGAGAAACTTGAGTAACTCGAAGCATGTATTATATCTTAAATTACGTGGAATTTTATTGTATTTTTACATAGATTTTTTTTTCCTTCAAAGGGATTTGAAAACATCTAACATTTTTATATCTCCCTCTGGAAATTAAAATGTATAGAAATAATCAGGGTACAAATTTGAATATTTAAGATGATAATCTTAGAAGAATAGTCATGTGCTGTTAAAGGATTCATTCTATCTTGTTAGCTATTCTGTGAATGAAATGGAACGATCGAAAGTTCTTCATGAGATTACTTCAAGCTGCTATAAGTGTAAATTAATATCTCTTGAAATTATTTTTAATAGTTAGCATGGGTATTAGAACATCCTAGAAGTTATTTTAAATCATTTGTTTTTAAAGATGTCAAATGATTTCAATGATCTAAGCAGTTAAAGACTATGCTGGGTGAAACTATTGGCAGTAATTAGAACTTTCCAATGGAAACCCTTTATGACTGTCATTCTCCATTTATTTAAAAAAATCATAATTCCAAATCTATGCATGTGCTATAAATAATATAATGAGAATGTACTATGCATAAAGTTTGCTCCATATATTGGTAGTCTTGTGGAATTGAGTTTATGTACTCTTTAAAACCATGGAGAAATAAGTTTACCATTGAAAAGAATTGTGCCTTAAGTCATATCAGAACTCTCCTCATTAGAATTTTTATCATCTTGTCTTTGTTTGCCTTTGGGACTTTTTTGTTGGGGTGTAGATGGTAATATATAAAGACTACTACAGCACCTCTATGTAACGAACAGCAGGAA